CTAAGAAGAATATATGCAGTGTGTTAGTTATTGAAACTGTCCTACCAATTTGATTTGAAACTGTCTCATTGCTATCTGTTTATCAATAAAATTATAAAAAAAAATTAGGTAGTACTTTTACATTTTTTCTGAGTGTTCTTAACATGAACAATGTCAAATAACTTTTCTAAGCCTGCAGAAATGATTATATGATTTTTTTTCCTTAGCTCTATCAGCATGATCATTAAGCAAAAGCCATTTTAGCTAGTTGGCTTATAAACAGGCAGCCTATAAGCAACAGAGCCTAAGCTAGAGTTGGCTAGTTAAAAGAAAATCGCACATATACCTAGTTAAGAGGTAATTCAAGGCAAACAACCAATTATGCTTAAAACATATAAAAGCATAGGAAAAAGGATAGAGCTAACCCCAACTCTAAGGGGAAAAGATTCTAGAATACTAGCAGTTAGGTAACAATGCCTCCCTACTTTGGCTGGATTTGGAGGATCATAAAATGTAGATTAACCAGATTCCTTTATACTCAGTTTCCTTTGAAGCCAGCTGAGTAACTGATTTTCTTTAGACTCTACATTACAAAGCCTAAACCTCAATGAATTATTCTAAATCCATAGAGGCACCTGTGATGGGAGATCACTGGACACTAAACAACTTCCCAGGCTCTGCGTATGCATAAAGAATCATGAGAAATCATCGTGGAACAACACTTTTGGAGACCCCAGCCAGATCCCCACCAGAAGCTATTTCTTACTTTCAATAAACACTTCAATTTCTAAAAAAAAAAAAAAAAAGCTAAGAAACACACAAATCCTATTTATTGCAAAGTGACACATTTGCAATGAAAACTTGCAGTGAAGACTTTTTTCACCTTCTGACACAAACTTCTATTAGTAACTCTAAGTAAGCTTCCAATCCTTCAACTTTAATTCATCTCTCAATCACCAGCATGCAGACAGCCATTTTGGATTCCTCTGCCTCTGATCCTGCAGGTAGCCCCTGTGATGCTCCCACTTTTGATCTTCTAAGTCTACCTAAGAAATCCCTTTATCTAACTATACATGTATTTTATATTGATTCTATTCCTCTAGAGAACCCTAACTATGACCTAGAATGTAAAACTGAAAACTTTGAAACTGCTGGGAGAAAAGGAAACACTTGAAGTCATAGATTTCCTGACTAGCATAGTAAATAATGTCGAAACTCAACAAATGGTACTATATAAATTAAGTAAGATTCTACACAGCAAGGAAAATAGCCTAGAGAATGGGTCAAAATCTTGACTAGCTACTCCTCTGATAGATGATTAATTTCAAAAATATATAAAATTCAAAACAAAAACCCCTAAAACTAACATAAGAACCAAATCAAAATATAAGCAAAAGAACTGAGCATAGACAGTTCTCAAAAGAAATACAAATGACTAACAAGTTTATGGAAAAATGTTCAATATTTTTATTTAGGAGGGAAATGCAAATGAAAACCTACACAGAGATCCTTCTCACTCCAGTTTTCAAATGCCTATTATGAATACAACAAACCAGGAATGCTGGCCAGGATGGGGGAATAAAGGAGCCCTGCTACATTGCTGGTGGGACTACAAATACTTATAGCCACTATGGAAATTAGAATGGAGATTCCTCAAATATCTAAAAATCAATATACCATTTGATCTAGCTCTATCACTCCTTACTAAATTTCTTAAAGAATTAGAGCATATTATAGTGTTATGTGCATGTTTATAGCAGCATAATTTATAATAGCTAAACTGTGAAAATAAGATTTTATATTTCTCCACAAAGGGTTAAAGAAAATGTGTTATATACACAATGGAATCTTATTGAAAGACATAAAAATAAGAAAATCATATTATCTTTTGGAAAATGGTGATATCACATCAAGTGTAAAATACCAGTCTGAAAAAGCATGTAGGAGCTGGGGCGACAACTCAGCAGGCTTAAGCCCCTGCTTGGCAAGCACAAGGTCCTGAGTTCAATCCCTAGTATCACACAAAAAAGCATGTTAATCTAAAAATAAATTTAAATAAGTGAGAAATAACAGAAAACTAGAAGGTAGAGTTATAGAAATGGAAAAAGAAATTGAGAAAGAAGGGAGAAAATGAAGAGTGGGTGGGTATTAGGAATAAAAATAATGTAAATATCTTAGATACATGTACCAAAATACTGAAACAAATCTCTAATTGTTCTGTATTATTAACATGTACCAAAAAATCACTAGTCCTAGAATAATCCCATACTATACAAAATACATTTTACAAATATGCATTTGACAGTCTGTACAAAAGTCTGTTTAAATATTTTCAAGTGAAAAAGTTATCCTACATTTTAAGCCTGTTAGTCCTTGAAAAGAAAAATTTCAAAAACCTATCTTTTCTGTTAACATATCTTTTATCTTTTTTGGCTTTTTAGAACTGATGTATTAGACATGGCCCATAAGAAGGAGCTAAGAAAATATTATACATGAATCCTGTTTCTTGCTAAGTGATATATTTATACTGAAAGCTTTTGTTTTTGAAGCAATTAGGCAAATTAACCCTGACAGCATTATTTCAGGAAGGGTGCCATGCAAGGCTCCATCTGCACTGAGAATTTGCTCTGAAGCAAGGAACAGCTGATACATGCAAAAATATTTCAGAACGGTATCCATGAATTCCTTGACTTGAAAGGGATCCACTAGAATGAGATGATAATAATGAGGAGTTTGGATTTCTGTTTAGTACTTTTCAAAGGGAACAAGTCATATGAAAAAGTAGTCTCTTTTGCCCATCAGTGAGCAAACTTGGTACATGAAGAAAGTTGAGGACTGCTGAATGGAAAGAAAAAGAAGACCAAATTTTTCTGTGTAAGTTATTATTTCAAATGAAGATCCTTACCCCATAAGGACACAGTTCCAAACAGAATAGAGCTGAAACAAAAATAGGTATCTGGGAACATATCTGCAATTTTATTTTGAAATTAATCAGATTAAGTTGATTACATAAAGCCCAAATTAAGTGTAATTGCAAGTTAAGTTTTAAGTCTGAGTCAGGTAGAACATATAATGCAGAAAAATCTCCATATAACATTATGTTGAAGATATAATAATATAGTGATGGACCATTTTTTACTTAATTTGGAAAACCAATATGGGTTAAAAAGAGAAACATTTCAAAGAAATCATCAGAAATATTTTTGTTCTTAGAACTCACTACATTCATCACTGTTAATTTTTTATCACTACTATTTCTCTCCCGTCTAAGTACTAACCACGCCTGATTCTGGTTAGCTTCTGAGATCAGATGAGATTAGGAGCGGTCTGGCCACAGACTATCACTACTATATGTAACTAAATCTTTATTAGAAAGGACAGAACATATCCCTGAATTCTTTTTCAAAATTCCATTTTCTCTATTGTTTAATAGTCATAGGAGTTGCTTCTGAAAAGGCTGACAGTTACTACTAATGTCATTCCTACTTCTGTAGCCACAGACCAAAAGAATGAGATCGTGGCTCCTTGAAAAAACAAACAAACTAGCTTTTCTTCAAAGACAAGGCAACCTGAGTCACGATGACTCTTTGACACAATCTCTATTTTTGACTAGTTAGTTACAGTTAAGTAGTAGGCAAGTATTAAATATAGAAGATCTATAGCCAAGACATAAAAGAAATAGATTTTCCTGAAATATATAATAATGTTGGTTCACCCTGGAGAAGAAATGAATATTCTAGAGAGAACAGACTCTTTTTTAATGAGCAGAATATATTTATTGAGGGAAAGAAAGCTCCTGTCTGAGAGAGGGACAGGAGGGGGGCTTGAGTGGGTTGTTCCCCAAGAACAGACTCTTTAACAATGGACTTTTAGGCTAGAGTGAACAAGCTCTAACTTTAGATGATTCCAAATTCAGCTGTTTCAGAAGCACTTAAGAAAATTACTGGGCTGGGGAGACAGCTCAGCAGCCTAAGTGCCTGCCTGGCAAGTGCAAGGACTCAGGTTTGATCCCTGATACCGCATGCTGAGCTGGCCCTGCACCAAGCCGGCCACTGAAACCAGGTGTGGTGGTATATGCTGTGATCCTAGCACTGAGGAGGCTGAGACAAGAGGATGATTATGAATCTAAGCTGCATAGCAAGACCCTGTACTAAATAAATAATAAATGACTGTAAAAACTGAAAATTATTAAAAATAAAGATGCCTGAACTGTACCTCAAAGCTTTGATCAAATTTTCAGCCTTTTCCAAAACCTTATTTAATATCCTGCTTATTTAGCTTCTACAAGGATAGAAAACTGCTGCTCTCAGAGAAGTCCTGGGATATTTTATACTACAGATTACTGACATTTCTGATGTCCATTACTCACGTGTAAACCTTAAGTACAAAATCTTTTTCTTCCTTTAATTCAGTGAGAGACTGCAGGATATCCAAGATGCTTAGGACTGCACAGCCATATGGTCGCCTGTAGTGTAGGTGTGCTGGGCCCTTCTTGGAGTCATTCAGGAGCATCCGCCCTTGAACAGAGCAGAAAACACTAATCAGACTGAGAACTCCATATTTCTCTCCAGTATTACCTTGATTTTACTACAGCAATCTAATAGATCCTCTAAGTTATAAGAGTAAACAGCTGATGGGAGTCATTCAGAGATATTTTTGTGGAGTAACATCAAACAAGCCTAGGTCAAAACTCCTCTGTACCACACATAGTCAATTCTCTTTATTATCTTTCTCTTTTTTTTATTTGAGAGATGGTCTCGCTATATAGTTCAGGCTATCCTCAAACTCACTGTATAGCCCAGGCTGGCCTCAAGCTCATGGTGATTCTCATATCTCAGCTTCCTGAGTTGCTGGGATTACAGCCATGTGCCACCATGCCTAGATCTTATCATCTATTTCTAAATCAGTATCAACAGTTCATTTATTAATCTCATGAAAATAAAAGAGTAACTTCATGAATTTTTTTGAAAAATCATGTTTATGGGTTCATACTTGACAGATATATCAAGTATAGAAAGTTCAGTACTTTTAGTTGCTGGGTAAAAACTATGCATAGAAAAGAAGAATAGTGCATTCTTGCAACCAAACTTTAGCTAAGGGCTTCAAGAACCATTATAGGAATGAAAGCAGTCTCAGAAGGTCAGTGAAACAGTACCTCTCTAGTTTAACCAAGATTATGCCAGCAGTGGCAGGAGAACTTGTAAATGCTGAGACCATAACAAATACTTAAGTATAGCAAAAACTGTTTTATTGGAGAAGGATTAAAAATATCCTTCAACAAAAATGAACATAATATGCTATAATGCAAACTATGAAGGAAAGCTTGGTTAGTCATAGCCCCAGAAGATACATACTGAACTTAAAATAAGGCTGGACAAACCAACAATGCAACAGTGAGTATAACTTTTTTCATGTCATTTGAGATCAAAATGAGATGGTATTTATCTTATGCAGAGGTGACAATGACTGTTTCTGTGGGAAATTAAATAGATATTTAATTTTTAGACAAACTACTAAAAAGGACATGTGCCACCTATTAAATTAGCACCCCTGATAATGTTCTGTAAGATATCTCAGGGGAAGGAAGGTATAGAGTCAGGGCACTGTGATTTTCCAAAAGCAGATCACTTAAAAACTTTGGGTCTTAACACAAATAGGAAGCAGATGGTTTCAAGTAAAAAATAAAATTCAGTATCAAACCCAGCTTAAGATAAAAAACTGAAAAAAGCTAGACTCTAATCCTGAGACTGGAAAAGATCTGAGGAGAAAACAAAACACAGGCATAAGAGATACTTATCCCCCAGTTGTGCCAGTCTTAGTCATGTGCATGGATAAAGGTAGACAGTACCTATTCGGATCACATGGGCAACTATATATAAGTCCCTCTTCATGTCTTTGCTGCTCAGATCCTAAGAAAAGAAAAATAATAAATTCAGACAAAGAATTCATAGAAAAACTTTTCATTTTGGACTGCACAGTGATCTGATTGTAGTATATATTATAGTTAGGATATACGTTGGGAGGAAGATTATAGTACACAACAGATATTTTAGTGTTTATAGCACTTCGCCAGTGTCAGCCAAGATGTTATAGGCCTTTAGAAGTTTTTTTCATTGACAGCATTTTCCAGCTTTTTTTGGACCAAATCCAATACCTATAAAAGTCTTCACACTGGAACTGTTTATATTACCTTAAACCACGTTCAATCTATCATCATGTGAAAAAGTTTTACTTTAAGGAAAATATAAAAATAACAGAGATTAGAAATGATGCAGAATTTTTTTTTTAAAAAAACAAGATAATAGGTATTCAACAATGGTTGTTCTATTGCACAGTCTTCAATGTAGTTGCTCAAGTTACCAGATACAAACATGAAATTGTTGAAAATGAAAATTTTAAGCATTTACTGTTCCCTTCAAAAAACCAACTGAAATTAGTAGTCATCTTAGCTATCTTGTATATATACAAGTCAGTACATGGTTAAACACAGATACTAAAGGGTTATCAAACATATTCTTTTCAAGACTAAACACTAAGTGTGGCTATTCATGTTAAAACACTAGAAATTATAAAACCAAGGTGGGAAGAGGGTGGTACATTCACCATTCATCTAGTGAGCAAAGTTTGAATTCTAACAACATGGCATCATTAGATTTGCTCACTGGTGCAATCCTTCCAATTGTACCTACCAAGGAAGCTGAAAACCAACTACACAGTATGAAGAGAGGTGAGTGAGGGCAGTAACTTAGGGCTTCCATCTTACTCACTGATACTCACTTTGAAACATGGAAAACCTCATATACTTTCCTATTCTGGGATTTTTTTTTCCATAGAAATAATGGGATTTACAAATATAAAATCAATTTACTAATACTTAAGCTACAGAAAAGGAGAAATATTTTAATACAAGATAACATTACAGGAATAAGTTAGGTTAGTTTCTCAATCCTAAGAAATTACTACTTAAAATGCTTTTGGAATACGGAAGAACATAATATCCATATCATAATGCAGGGAAAATAGTACAAGTTCATTCTCTGAGTTGGTCACTCAAACACAATAGCAAGTAGATAATACTTACTTTTTATGTGGCAAATCATTATTGAAATTTTAATATTGCCAATCACTATTGTGAAGTATTGACTAGCTAGTAATGAATATATATACAGTAGATACAACCTCACTCACATACATACAACCATTGTTCATCACAAAAGTTAGCAAAATCTTCACTACATTCAGTTTAAGTAAGAAATATTTCCATCTTGGGTAAAATTTTTCCTTTACAGGAAATCTTAAAATCTAGCAAGTTCAGAAAAAAGTCTACAAAGAGAGAAGAATCATAGCATGGGTGATGCAACTTCAACGTGATGCTGAAGTTTTCTGAGTAACTGCAAACTGCATGGTTTGGTCCCCCACACCTTTTTTTTTTATTTTAACATCAAACACATATTTCCAACCTGGAAAACTTCTTTAGCTCACAGGAGTAATTTACGTCTTTAAAAACAGTCTAAACATCTAAAAGTCATTTAACTCCAAGAAAACAGTTACCGCTGAATTACTATTTCAGGTCCTGGCTAAGGTAATCTTGTTCAGAGATCTTAATGTGTACTATAAAGTTCCTCAAATCATGTTTGGGGCCTTTTTAAAAAAAAATTCAGGACTATTACAAAGGGAAGTATGACAGTAGTATATTAAATGGTCTTGTGCCTTCTCATTGGGGTGAATAGGAGATCATGAGTATAATGTGTGTCTCTGATTCATAAAGTTAGAGCTATATAACTTTGGCCTCTGAGCTTTATGGATATGAAAAATGCTATGTGAAATGTATAATTTACTATAATTATATTTAAATGTCATAATTATGTTCACTTTTAAAGATATAAGTACTATCTTTATCATACTTAGGCATTTAAACACAGCACCTGTCCCCCTATGCATCAACAATTTCTCTTACTGTGTTATCACATACTACTAGAAAATCAGGACCCAGTGAATCTTCCTAAGTTTACTGAGACACTCTCCACAAATATATGTTTAATCTCTTTATAATTCCTATTTCAGAAACAAGGTCTTAGTGGTTACCTCAGTAACCAGGCACTCTCAGTTCAGAAGCTCTCAATCAATTTTTTTTCCTGTATTTTAGGGAAGGGTTTACAGAGTGTTCAGTTTCTCACCACTAGATTGGACTCATACTGATTCTCCTGTTTACAGCCTCCCAAGTGCTGGGATTACAGGCGAACACCACCACACCCAGTCTCAGTCACTGTCTCAGAGCAGAACCAGCACGGCAGTTAATAGTTTAACCTAAATTCCATAAACTACAATCCAGATTTTTTCCTTCATTCTCTTCTCTGGGAAAAGAGAAAGCATTAATCTTCCCAGGATAAGCCAGATTAACTCCCCTTCACCATCTTCACAAGTCTGTTTTTCCTGCTCTTTCTTTTTGCATTATTTCCTAACTCTTGAATCCTAGGCTCAAAAATGGTCAAAACATTATTTCAGCTTAGCCAGATCTAAAAATTTTTCTGCAGATCTGAAATATTTTCAACAAAAGCTACCCTTCTGAAAATGATTTTTGATTGTACAACATTATTTGACATTTTGAAAGATTAAGTTGTAGTAAATGAGTTGAACTCAGGATACAAACACAATTTTAACTTTCAAAGGAAGTGACAGCGTAGATTGTCAGGTAAAGACTATCCATATTTAAGAGGTGCAATGCATACCTTAAGATATCTATCTCTTACCAGTCATATACCATAAACAAGGTCAGTAACATTGTGAGATATCACATTGGGAGATCAAGGAATTTTGTTATATCTCAGTATCACTGAGACAGAAAAAATAATCCA